TTACCAACTTTTATATAGGGATTTATTTAAAACAAATTAAGATTCCCAAATCAGAACCCAAGCGTGATTTAAAAACCCAGATCTTGGGGGAAAACTCCAAGTATTGGCAGCCCTGGCTGCACGAAAGATTAAGAAGAAAAAAGGCAGCATGTTAAAAAGAGGAACAAATCATGGATGGGTCAGGCCTAGGTCATTACTCGGCAGGTGTGTTCACTTGAGGACACAGAATCTGGTGAGGAATGGGTACAAGTACCAACAGAGTGCTACACGACCTTTTCTGTCTGCATCCGTCTTGACAGAAAATGCAGAAAGAAACTCCAGCTGCTGTTGAGGTATAAGTGCAGGATTCGTTTTTCGAAAACTTTGTATATTGGAATGCTGTTATTTACACAAATGGATCTGTAATTTGCCATGTCAGAAGCTCTCAGGATTTTGCGGCTCAGGTTGCAGTTAGAATTGCGAAGCAAGATTCTGGTGCTGTTGCCTTGACCACATGTAGTCTGACTATGTAGGTCACAACAATGACCAAAGCAACAACATGGCTGGAGACACAGTTCTTTTCCAGCGCATGATTGCTCCGTGACTCAACGAGTATGCGCAGGAAGATAGAGCTAGGCTTGATCCAAAGACAGTGGTAGAGTTTCTAAAGCGGCATGGGCTGACACATATCAGTTTCATATCTGTGCCAGCGCAGCAAGTGTGCAAGGAAATGAGCCAGCTGATCGGCTTGCAGGTAAAGCTACTGTGGAGGGCGGACAAGCTATGGACCAGGTCGATATTCTGAATGCTCTACAAGATGAAAGACGTTGCGAGAACCGAGTGATGACTGAAAATGCAACAATGACCAGACTGAAAGAACAACATTTTAAAAGGGGTGCGGACAGACAAAAGCACTATGCAGGAAGCCAAAGAAGAATAAGAAACCAACACAGAACTGGTGTCGTGAGCCGCTACACACTGTGAGATTTACTAAGGAGGGAATCCGAGCACTTATGGACTGAATGTTTCGATGTGCAATGAGGATAATCTGTCGACTAACTAACCAACTGACCTACAAACACACAGATGTGCCTGCCTACAACCCGCATTCATTTTACTAACGAACCCCCACGTAGCGATCCACCTAAACTACAACCCCCTACCAATCGATTTACCAACCAACATCCCACCGATTAACCAACTAAGCTATTCCCTAACTACCAATCCACCCACCAACCTCCTATACACACACCGACCCCCTACATACCAACCAACCTCCTAGACACACACCGACCCCTTACATACCAACCAACCTCCTAGACACACACCAGCCCCTTACATGCCAACCAACCTGCTAGACACACACCTGCCCCTTACATACCAACTAACCTCCTAGTCACACACCAGCCCCTTACATGCCAACCAACCTCCTAGTCACACACCAGCCTCTTACATACCAACCAACCTGCTAGACACACACCACACCTTACATACCAACCAACCTCCTAGACACACACCAACCCCTTACATACCAACCAACCTCCTAGACACACACCAGCCCCTTACATACCAACCAACCTCCTAGACACACACCAGCCCCTTACATACCAACCACCCTCCTAGACACACACCAGCCCCCTACATACCAACCAACCTCCTAGACACACACCAGCCCTTTACATACCAACCAGCCTGCTAGACACACACCAGCCCTTTACATACCAACCAACCTCCTAGACACACACCGACCCCGTACTTACCCACCAAACTCCTAGACACTCACCAGCCCCTTACATACCCACCAAACTCCTAGACACACACCGACCCCTCACATACCCACCAACCTCCTAGACACAAACCGACCCCTAGCATACCCACCAAACTCCTAGACACACACCGACCCCTCACATACCCACCAACCTCCTAGACACACAGCGACCCCTTACACACCCACCAACCTCCTAGACACACAGCGACCCCTTACATACCCACCAACCTCCTAGACACACACCGACCCCTTACATACCCACCAACCTCCTAGACACACACCGACTCCTTACACACCCACCAACCTACTAGACACACACCGACCCCTTACATACCAACCAACCTATCTAGCTACGGTAAACCCGACTTCGACACACACATTATGATACACTCACCAAGCATTCACAATCAACAGCAGACAGAGACGGCGAAGTATCAAGAAGCCCAGGAGACATCGGTCGCCATCGCAGGCTTATCTTCAAGAGGGTACACCTGTCTAAAGTTACATTGCAGCACGGAAGCATGAATCATGGCGCAGGTATGGCACTCTACCCAGGCACGCGCGCACAAGAACATTTCAGAACTCAGATGTGTTCTTGTGCACATCCGGGCATCACACCAACGCAGCCTCACCTTCCTCTGTTGCTGTTTGAGGTCTTGCTAGGTTTATTTTTAACTTCTGGGCTGATTATTTCATAGTTGTTGTTGTTGTTGTTATTGTTCTTCTTCTTCTTTTTCTTCTTCTTCTGTCTTCATCACGCTCGTCTCCTTACTCAGTCTTCTCACTTTCTTCTATGTTCGCCCGTAGAAGACTGGTTGGCACGTTGTGTGTGGTTGACAATTCGGTGGCGATATCTGAGGGCCGAACCCGGTGTGTGGATTACTAGCAAGAGCCAAGCGAGTCATTGCCATTTGTACTGTATTAATAATAATCTTTCTACGCTAGGGCTCGGATCTCAGGCTCGTGATGATCTCCATTTTCAAAATGTGGGCTCCTGAGTGAACTTAGATGAACAGTCCTGACCTAATTAGTGGCCTTGTAGGTCATGCTTGTTCGGGGCAGTGGATTCACCCCCCCCCCCCCCACAATAACACAATAAGCCAGGTTCCCGAAACCACTGGAGGTAGTTTGGGAAGTAAATAACTCGCGTTTTACTTAGTTTAATGTGTGGGTGTCTCTCCACACCATTACGGCCTTCATCTCTCTCAGTACCAAGCCGTCCACCCTGCATTTATTGGCTTTAATACACACAACATTCTTTAATTTAATCTTGATTTAAAAAAAAAAGGAGATGAATATTGCTGCACGGAAAGTCCCATGAGCCATGTAACAAAGGTATATCTGCTAAAGTCAAAGTGTCTGACAACACCAAGATCAAAATTTTTAAAATGTTGATTAGACCAGTCGTTTTATATGGCCCTGAAACTTGGAGCACAGCTAAAAGAGATGAAGCCTTATTACAGGTTTTCCAAAACAGAATCTTATGACAAATCTTTGGACCCATCTAAGATGCAAACAACAGTGAATGGAGAGTGAGAAGCAGCAACGAAATTTATAATCTGTTCAAATCACCACTGATTACTGGCATCTTGAGAGCTAATAGACTTAAATAGTTGGGACATTTTCAAAGAATGTCAGATGACAAAGAAGTAAAAACTGTATACAACAGGAAGATGAATGGTCGTAGACCACGGGACAGCTCAAGAAGACCATGGAGAGATAATACCCGGACAGACCTGCAAACACTGCAAACTAGAGAGATGAATGGAGGCAGGTGATACCTGCAGCAATGAACCACAAGGGCTCAGAATGCTGAAGAAGAAGAAGAAGAACATATCTGAAAATAATTCTGAGTAAAAAAATGAAGAATGAACTACATAGGTTTGTAGAGAAAAGGACACAAACAAAGATATATACATTATGCTAGATATTATTAGAAAAAGCCATAAAAGCAAAATTTGATCTTCATTTCTGCTCTCCTACTAAAAAGAGTTTCATAGAGTGGAAAATTAGGAAACAAAATGTTAAATGCTGACCACAAAGGTCTGAAAATAATAAAGGACAAGTAAGGGGAACAAACAGCTGCACTGGTGTAACAGCTAGATACTCCACCTCTGGCCCACAAGTCTTGGATTCAAATCTGCACTGAGTCAAATTGTTTAAAGAAATGACCTTGGCTCCCAGGTCGACCCAGCTTAAAATGGATCAGTCAAGCATGAACATTTTCCTAAGGGAACAAGTTATCTGTTTAATTAACATTGAGCGCCAGGATCAGTCATTTTACATTTGTAGAGGTACTGAGGAGAAAATTAGAGCACCCAATGATCTGTCCAGAAAGCTGTGAATATAATCCTGAGTTTTCACTAGTTTAAACCAAAAGATGAGGGAGATGCAGAGCCTGAGTTAAACCAAGAACAAGACGGAACGAAAACATCACAGAAACACCCCAATGGTTCCAAGTGTACATGGTTGAGGCAACCAGATGAGGAAGAAGCACAACTTTGTATCTCCCTTGACACCCAAGGTGGTAAAAGAGAAAGGTAGGAACAAGAAAGTTGCTGGCTGGTCGGTTATCTACTTGAACATCAAAGCTACTTCCCTGTGTGGGTTCTGAGATCCAACTGTAAGGAGGGAAAAAAGCTCCCCAACAAGCAAACTGTAAAAGTCAACTAATGAAAGCTGTTTCCGTCAACTGGATTGCATCTGCCTGATTTATGAGGAATTAAAAGTCTGCACACAAATAATCCAGATCTGTAAAATAGATGTGCACATGAAACTCAAGTTCTGGAACAAGGCCAAAAGTCCAGAAGTGGATCGACACTCAGAACTGATCACCTGAGTTTACAGCAGGTGAAGGCGAAGAAGAAGCAGAAGACAGCAACTAGAATCATCTAGTTAAGAACTCTGTGCTGACTGCTGAAGATGGGCATGAAATACTTATGGGAATGCCCCAAGTGCTGTGAAGTCAGTACTCAACTCAACTGTTTCAGTACCAGAAGATTTGGCAGCCAATGCCCAAGTGGGCAAACAATCATATAGACTAATATAAGGCTAAAGCTGGAGGATATGCCCACTCAGGTAGCCAGATTTCTTTTCATACTCTGATCAAACTTAAAATTTAAGATGTTGGATGGTTGAGCCTGACTAGGAGGTTCACATCACATGCACCACGCATTGTTTGGGACTGAAAGAGTTAACTCAACTTGATGCTTGCAAACAAGAAACATTCAAGAAAATGAACAAGGGCACTCACCTAAGACAGCATCATCAAGTTCCTGCTTGGAGAAGACCAGACTGTTATCAGATATGGCACACGTATGGAACTGGCACTGCCAGATGACTTCCCTTTGGCCAGATCGTGTCTTTTTGTGGTAGCACTTGATGAGGATGTCGCCACGGAGGGGGATTCCCGGCGAAATGGAGATACAGACTTTCTGCATGTTGTCTGTCACGTTGCTGGGGACATATATTGGAATCTCTAGAAATTCAGTTTTGACAGAGATAAATCTGTAAATCCTTTAATTCCTGTGTGGGTTCCAGGACCCACTTGGGGGGGGGGGGGGGGGGGGGGAAGGAGGGGGGTGATCAACTGCTCTTTAATAAGCATGTCTTTAAAATCGACTGACTACAGATTTGCTGAAATTAGATGTGTTGGATCGTAAGGTGCAAAAATCACAACCAAGCTGTGGACCCCACCACAACAGGCTAACTGCCTTTTTAACAGAGATAAAGAAGAAGAAAAAGAAGAAGAAGAAGAAGATGATTGGCTGAGTACTGTAAAAAATTTTTCCATGCATACAGAGACAAGCAGTATCATGTCCACTCTTCTGAGTAGCCTCTTATGACACACATGGTATGTTACAGTGTTACTATTCTGTGCTTCCATAATAGACTCTTACAACACATGCTCATGACTGGGTGGATTTTGTAGCAAAGGGACAAGACAGCCTGTCACACATCAACCCTTCTTTGGTGTTGCCCAAGTCATACTGGTAGCTAAACAGTAGCTCAGTGTCCTGAGTAGAAATCCTATGACCATGACCAAGTCAAGCAGATCTGTGTGTTTAAGGTGTAACCCATTAGTTCTGTGACTAATGCTTTTTCTTCTTTTTGTTCACCAGCTGTAAACTCTGGTGGAAAGTTCTGGTTGTTTATCCACTTTTAGACTGTAGTCCTGTTCCAAAACCTGAGTGTTGCGTGTGCAGCCGTTTTACAGATCTGACATTTGTATGCAGACTGTTGGTTCCACCCGAGTGGATCAGTCACAGTTACGATGGTTTGGACATGTATGCAGAATGGGAGAAAATCGGCCACCATGGCAGGCATGGGAGGCTAAGAACCAGGGAACCAGACCTCTAGGACTACCCAGGGTGCGCTGGGAAGACAACATCCAACAGTCCCTAACTGACAGAGGACTGGAATGGAACAAAGCCAGAAAGAAAACGACTGATAGAGACGTCTGGCGAACTCTCTGGCAAACCTTTACACCCCAAGGTAGAAGAGGAGCGACTAAGTGAGTACTAAGTAAGACTGTTGGTTCCTTGCCTCTCAGGTAGATGCACTCTGACTGCGAAGGAAGCTCCCAATTAGTTGACCCTAATGACATGCTTTTGGGTAGGCAGCGGGTCTATTTTTGTTTTCCCTATAACAGGGCCCTGGAACCCACACAGGGAACTAATGCTTTTAAAAAAGACAATTTTTTGAATTTTGTAACAATTGTCTCAAACTAGAATTCTCAGGCTGAAGATGGGATACTATGGTCCTAGAGCACAGAACAATACAATATAGGCATAACAGAATCTGCCGCCTCTGAATGTGGAGCAGAGAGACAGGCTCTACAGCATGTACTGCAGGACTGTGCTAACTACTCCCAGAAGAGGATAGGGATCTGGCCCAACCAAACTACATTGCAAAACAACCTGTGGGGGGACCTGCAGCAACCATCTTGCTTGTGACCCAGACAGGACTGAATGTTCAGCATGACTGATGTCAAATGTAGAAGAAGTCTCAAAACTTGTGGTTGTATCTTGGATACTTATGTCCGTGTGTATGTAAATGTGTGTGTGTGATTGTTCATCTGGTCTAATCCCAAGATTAGACTCCTCTGAATAGCAGAAGGAGAACTGAAATGCCAGCCAAATATAACTAACATTAAATCTCTGACTGCATCTCCTATGTTTTTCATCTGAAGAATTCTAGTTTTAATCCTTCTGAGTCTAGTATGCATTGTATTTCCAATATTGTGAGCCCATATTGATTTGATATGAATAATTTTCCTGATTCTGGCACCAGAACTAAGGTCATGGTGGTCAGAACTGAGGTCAAAGGGACCTGGTCTAAGGTCAATTTCCAGGTGAGAAGAGGTTATAATTCTAAGGGCAACACACTCTTATGGAGAGCTGTACAGATTTTACCTGGGTAGGTAAAGTAGTGAGCTTCTTTCAGGGCCTAAGGTGAACTGATATTTAGCCCTAGCCTAAAAAAATGTTAAAATTAGTATTTTACGGGTATTCTACGAGGCGTAGATCAGAAGATTTCTCATCACATAAATCAGAAAAAGGCAGCCATCACTTTTTGGCCATGTTGTCAGAAGAAAGAAATTTGAACTTGTGACAACTAAAACTCTGAAGAAAGAAGACACAAACAATAAACTGTCTAATTTACTTCCTGGCAGGATTTTCAGTATTATAATAAAGCATTCATTTATTTGCTTCATTTTGATCAATTGTTACTGCAGTGCGCACCTGATGAGACACAGCAAAATGTGCCATGCAATAAATTGTGCAAAATTGTGTGTATTCTTTGTTCAAATTCACAAAGGGGATATATTTGTGGAAAGAGAAACATAGGTAGAGAGAGGGGAGAATGAATAGTTATTAGAATAAAACATTGAAATTTCAGTGTCGTCATTACAGACATTTCAGTGTTGTTGTTACTACTGTTATCAATGCCACTTTTAACACCATCATCAACATCTCTCTAACACATGCACTCATCCTGATCTCCACAAATACAAACACACATACAAATACATATACACATACATCATACACAAGGGCAGCATTAAAAACAAAAACTCACTAGACTCCGGATGTGAAGATAGGTTGCATCCCCTGGTAGACCTTAATAAATGGCCGACAGCCACCTTTGGTATCAAAGTTGGGCACTCCATGGATGAGGATGTGGTGGAGGTACAAGGGATTACTGTTGATCTTAATGGCCCCAGACAGAAGGCCGGAGAAGTAACGAACATACCTGGTAATGAACAATGTTAAAAGGGAAATGTATTAACATTTTCATTGATTTGAAAAAAAAAAAGCATGTATAATTGACAGAGATGCATATACAAAGACAACACAACATTGACAAACTCACTCCCTTAACAAATTTTCTTATGTGGGGGGGGGGGGGGGGGGGGGGGTTGGAACCTCAAATAGCCTAAGCCTTGTTTAAGTGCATGTAATATAAAAACTTCAAAAGAAAACTTCTAAAAATAGTTTGGGGGGAAAGGAGGTGTGGAGAAGGTGAGCCTATTTTTCTTATGGCCTCCCCCAACCCAAAAGAAAGAATGTCTAAGGCCAGTTCCAGCACCCCTGGCACCTGAAGACATGCACTTAAACAAAGAGGAAGACGAAAAACCAGTTAAATTAAATTACAGCAGAAATCTTTTTCTTCTTCTTCTTTCGTTCGCTTGAAATAAATTATCTATATTTGCAATGTTATCTGTAGTATAAACTTCACTGTCTTTTGTAATTCACACAGCGAGCTGTAAAGTTCGACTTGCACCAATGTTTCTCTTGGCAGAAATAATTAGTATAATGTTTCCTCAAAGTTGTTTCTTATATGTTACTCACATGAATACCAACAAATTACTGTGAATCAAGAAGTAGGAAAAGACTCTGGTATTGGATAGTAAACACACAGAGAAAGTGTGATTTTAATGAAAGTAGAATGTCTTTGTACTGGGTAAAAGAATTATTTTAAAAAGGCAGACCCAAAAGATACATGGACAAGAGAATTAGAGTCATTAAAAAGATAAGTAGAACGTGAGGGAACACAGGGTTAGCTACAGGTGGAGGCAAAATATAAGATGGTCTGGAGTTTACGGACTAATAATTTATGCTTTGCTGCAGAAAAAAAGGGCAGAAAAAAAAGAGATGATGACCTTGTTAACCATTACTAAATGTATTTTCTGATTTTGTTTACTTTCTTCTTCTTTGTGATAATTTCACATCCTCAGATTATTATGTGTGTTGCCTCTATAAACCAGCACATCTCCAAGGGTTCCCCTTAGGTTTGTTCTGGATGCCTCCTTCCTCATGTCATGTGATTTCTTGCAGGTTTTACTGTAAAGGGGAGTGGGGGGGGGGGGGGGGGGCAGTTCTGCAGTATGTGCTCATGTGTTTGGAGTATGATCATGCAGAGAACTTGAAAGGGTTGGGGGGGGGGGGGGGGGGAACCTTCAGTCTGTGCATCTGTGTGTTAAGTCTGCAATGTCAGTTCTAAGTAAAAAAAAAACTGTGGTAAACTGTCTTCTATAAACTCTGTTGATTGTGTCATTAATCAATTGTGAATTATTCAACACACAAGACTGCACTGATTGTCCACACAGTTGAAATGCTTACCTCCTCTGTGATGGAAGTGGAAGACCGCCCAACTTATCATCATAGAATCGTTTCATGGCAAATCGGTCCAAAGCCTGATCAGCACTAAAATAACATATTACATAATCAATACAAGTGACTTATTATTAAATTAATTATGTAGAAATAACAACAAAACCAATGATTAACTCTTTGAGTCCCAAGGAACACATCATACGTTCATAAGTTTCTAATGAGAGGCCCAATGAACTCAAGATGCGCCGATTTTACGTCTCTCTTGACTACCTTTGATGCTAAACCCGCTGGGACTCAAAGAGTTAATCAGCTACAAGAATTGACTGAATGACTCGGCTGTGATTTGAACTCACAACCCTTCAGAGCACAAGGCAAACTGCTTGAACACTTTGTTATGGATCTGTTACTGGATAACCCCCAGACTCCCAGAGCAAAACACAGTAGTAACACTGCAACCTACCATACCTGTCACAAGAGGCAACTAGGGAGGGTTAACATTCAGGCCAAATTTATGTGAAAGCTGCAGAGATGTAGTTTTATAGAAGAATGGTGGGTACATGGGCAGATACAAAGTGTAATGAACTTGTTTTGAAAGAAATTAATTCATAAAAAGTACTGATTATCTAGCCATGGTAGTAGCATAGTTGTTAGATGCTCACTGCTGGCCTGAAAATCTTGGGTTTGAATTTACATCAAATCGACTTGTTCTTATAATATGTCCTTAACTTCCCAGTCAACCCGGACTATAATCCGTGCCAGATAATGCTGTGGAAAGTAAAGGCAGCAAGATTGATGCTGGCCACATCGCTAATTAAGTGACAGTTGGTCAAAGAAAATTTGAGTCTACCAGCATAAGCCCATATGTCACTGGCATGAAAAGGGTCCTTTAGTTGACTTTACTTAAGGCTTAAACAAACAGGGTGAAGGTACCAACAGATCATCAGGGTTTGAAGAGAATGGTGCAGTGAGAAGCGAACAGGTGATGTGGCCGATGCTCAAGACTCAAGGGAGGGGTGACACAGATATACAATCAGACTGTTACTGGTACCATTGGAATTTGAAGTCTGTGCTTGCCGCTAAAGAGTGGATGAAGTGCTTATGGGAATGTCCCAAGCACTATTTTGTTAATTCTTAACTCATAACCGATTGAAAGAATCAGAAGATGAGACAGAAGACTGTGGACACACATGATTATTAAGACCATGGACTATAAGGAGGAGGAGGAGGAAGGTTAGCTTGAGATTGGCCCTCATAATATAAAATATTTTAGATGAAAAATTCATGAGCATGTTTACAATGGAATCGGTAAGATGGCTGAGAATCTATGGTCTACTGGGAGATGAATGACTGAAGAATAGGTGGTCGAGGATAGAGGCTCTGTTGGGGAATAAATTCTGGATAAATGGAGGAGCTGGTTGAGGAGCTTTGAGGTGAATGGCAAGAGACCCAGAGCAGTAAATTTATGAAACAAAACAAAGAGTTAACAGAATTAGTGGCAGCCATAACAATTCTTCTCCTTCTTCGCGTTCACCAGCTGTACATTCTGGTGGAAAGTTCTGGTTGTTCGTCCACTTCTGAACTGCAGTCCTGCTCCAGAACCTGAGTGTTGTGTGTGCATCAGTTTTACAGATCTGATTCACTTGAATGCAGACTGTTGGTTCCTTGCCTCTGAGGCAGATGCACTCCGACTTCAAAGGAAGCTCCCCCAATTAGTCGACTCTTACGACATGCTTTTGGGTAGGCAGAGGGTCTATTCTTGTTTTCCCCACGATGGGGCCAGGAAACCCCACCCGGGGAGCCATAAAAATACAAATGTGCAGTTTCACACAGTGCAAGCAAAAAGACCATCTGGTAAATTTAAAACGGCCATGGCGATCATATTTTAATGTCTGGGAAGGCTAACCTAGTCAACAAATGCCTGCAGAAGCTGAAAGGCCCAAATATAGCAGTCAAGATGTAAATTACAACGCAATTACATCTTCAGATGAACGAAGAAGAGGAAAAAGAAAATATATTAATGTTGCATTTCTGGTGGTAAGATGTGGTGTGAATACACATTGCAATTTGAGTATTTCAGTGGAAAAGATTCATGTTTGTGCATCATTTTATGGTGAAGTAAGCCTTAAAATACACCTGATGACATACAGCAAAATACGCCAGGCAATACAACTGTGTAATGGACTGTTTGTGTCCCCATCATGTAAAACAAACACTCTATAAATACCTGGCACAGATGTTACTGTAATGCATGTAGGCTGCAATGACACAAGCGATGCGGCTTCGGCCACCTTTGCAGTGGAGGATGACCACATTTCTGGTGTCTGCATTCAGCCAGGAGTCGATGGCTTTGCACAGGGAACACAGCCGCTCTAAGGGAGGTGCAAGATGGTCTGGCCAACCATATTCTTTTACCTGCAAAGAGAGGTTTGTGTTACTCGTAAAAGCAGATTTAACAGATTTTCACTTTTTGTTTGCCATCATCATCCTACAGTCATTGCTGTTACCATCTTCAATAATGTACTCATCATCATCCATATAATTTATTGGTTGTTACCATCTTCAAAAATGTATTCATCATCAATTTACTTTATTGGTTGTTACCATCTTCAATAATGTAGTCATCATCATCATCATATAATTTATTGGTTGTTTACATCTGTAACAATGTAATTATCATCTTCATTACCCATTTAATTTATTGGTTGTTACCATCTTCAACAATGTAATGCTCATCATCATTATCAGCCATGCATGACCTACTTTTACTATTTTCAACATCATCCTAATCATCAGCATTATGCAGCAGGTCTTTTGCAGAATCTCTATCTTATCATGTATTCATGGCTTCTGTCTTTACTGCCTGTGTTCAATACTTGTATAGGGTGATGTAGAAGAGGAGGGTCTTGGGTCTGGAAACTTGAAGCCACATGGCTAGTGCAGTCAGCACACATTGTACAGGTTAGGTAATTTTATTTCTGCCCCCTCTTACCAAGTATATGAAACAGAATCTCATGACTTCTGCAATCCTTCTGAAACAATCCTGCCTAATTTCAGTAATCACTTAGAATGCAATCCCTTCAGACTGTTTTCTTTTGTATATTAGGCTTCCGGTCTAATCTGGTGGATTTGTAGTCTAGCTATTTTAGATGTAGCAACTTATTTGTGTCTGCCTATGGTTAACTGTAGCACTTCCCCACTTTGTGGACTGAAATTATACAGTTCTGTTACCCAGATACTGAAATGAGTGCCTGGTGTGACACTGTGAGCTGCAGATTTAATTTTGAATGCTGTTTGACTGTGCCAAAGATGTTTTGTGTTGTCAATTGCAGATTCAGAAAATGGTGAGCATGCTATTGCTTCAAAACTGGTCATGCCTTATGTGATATTGCATGTGCAACTGCTGATTTGTTGTAATTGCTGCTTGCATTGATAATGAATCTCAGTTCCAGGGTGGACTGTTTGTATGGGTACTTTTGGTAGCTGCCTTATGCCTTAGATGTGTGTTTATGCTATTGGCTGTGCCTAGACTGCAGCCGGCTTACATTTTGTTTGTTCACAGTGGACAGTGATGGGCATTCTCTGTGGGTTTGGTTGGTACATAAATGGAGTTTTTGTGAGGTGATCCATTTGCCATAAAAGTGGAACTGTGATTAACAGAAAAGCTAATTAACTGATCAAACACAAACAGAAAAGAAAGTTTACCTGGGGGTTTGACTGATCAAACACAAACAGAAAAGAAAGTTTACCTGGGGGTTTGCTTTTGTCAGATCTTGTCTTTTTTCAGATAAATTCAGTATCTGAAACAAAAAGGCAAAACTTCCTAAAGTAAAGGAGCATACCAGATACAACAACAACAATATTATACATCACTATCATCTGCCTTACTGAAAGCACAGGTGGCCATATTTTGTCAGCTCATAAACAGAATTGTGGATCACATCAATGCATTTGTCTCTCTCAACACATGACCAGGTCATTCTGGTCCTTATCTCTCTGCCTCCCCTGGGTTTTATTTTTCCATGAATCTTTCCAGCTGTTTCACTAATATTTCAAGTCCATTCATTCGCATAACATGTTAAAGAAATATTTTTTACATATGAATATAACCTATTGGATGATGTTTCTATGATATCAGTTATTTTTTATAAGTATCTACTTATTTATGTATAATCAATCTTGTTTCTTTTCCCTTCACTGTCCTCAACATTCCCCTTCTTTTTGTTCATTTACCAGTTGTGAACTCCATGTCTGGGTTCTGGTCTTGTTCAAGGATTTGAATTTCGCAGGCACATCCATTTTGCACTCACTGTGTGCAGACTGTTGGTTCCTTGCCTCCTGGACTTGGTGTTGGCACTTTAGACTGCTGTCTTTTACATGTTGTTGGATTTGCTAACACTGCTGATTGTGTCAATGTTTTCACAAGAAACAGTGATAGACATTCTGTATGGTTTCTGTTGGCACAGGTACACAAAAGCTATGTGATGACCTCATGGTAGTCTTTGATACATGACTGAGCCATCTGTTGTCTCTTGATGTAGTTTAGCACTAGTTCTGTCCCAGCTTGTTTTCTTACATTATTATTTACAATCCTGTCTATTCTTGTTTTACATTTAGTTTCTGTTGCATCAAAAATATTTAGTCAATGTCCACTTCTGACACTGGCCACACAATGTTAATAAGAGTCTGTACTGAATAGTGCTCTTTTGGTGCCAGCCGTTTTAAGTTTATTCTATAAGACTGGTGGCATCTTTACAATGATTTGATTTGATTTATCTATATTACCTCTACATTCTATCTCTGCTTTCACTTTTTATTTGAATTATATTATGCTCCCTATATACTTTAAGGCTTTTGTTTGCTTGATCTGTGGTCTTAAATCCATTTCTGGACTGGTTGTTCTTCTCTTGCAATGGTCATAACTTCTTACAATGTCACAAATGATAAGAATGACCTACCCAGTGTCCATACTTACCAAATAGTTGTCCCCATGTTTCCTCTTCAGCATCTCGACAACCTCTTTCAGATGATAAGCATATGTTGCATCATGACCCTCAGATGGAAAGGTCATAGCTAAAAATAGATATAAAGTCAAGAACATGAAATAACCACACACAGACAACTCATCGCATTCAAAACCACACAACTCAACATGAGTTTGTTGGTTTCAAGTATTATACTTCTATAAGCACTGTGATCCATCGAGTTGTGACACTAATCCACTCAGCACTAATTGTTACTTTAAACCCTTTTATCCGATGCTGTTTTTATACAACCTCAGTGGACCCAAAGAGTCTTTACTGAAAATGACAACTTTTCAGAATTGAAATGAAGCAAAGTGACAATACTTTGTATTGAAGGATTCTGATTGTTCACCCACTTCTGATGTTCTATAACCTGAGTTTTGCATGCATATCCATTTTACAGATCTGTATTATTTGTATGCAGACTGTTGGTTCTTTGCCTCTCAGGCTTCTAACTTCAAAGAAAACCTTTAATTAGTCAACTCAGCGAGTCTTTTCTTTTTTTCCTTACAATGATGCCCTCAAAACCCGCATGAGGAATGCGTTAAATATATATGAGTCAAATTTACATGGGTTAAATGCACATAAGGTAAACATACATATTAAAATGTACATGCATTAAATTACATGGGTTAAATGTATAAAGTGGATGAACAATCAGAATTTTCCACCAGTTTACAGTTGATGAATGCATAGCAGAAGAAGAAGAAGGAGAAGATTTAACCCATACACATATTAACCCATATATATATTTAACATCTGTCTTCCCTGCACCCAGACCTGACACTGACGCTATATAAACCACACAGACCACAAAATGTGAATCCATAAGGCAACAGGTGTGTGCAAGAAATACAGTTTTAGGCAAACTTGCTATCATCTGCTCATACAGGTATTCTAAGCCCAATGTCCTGATGATGATAGAATGTTAGTAACAGCTGGAAGGTAACAAACACCAACATGAGTCAAACAAGGAAGCTGCACAGAGACAAACATACAGAAACATTGACAAACACACACACATATAAACTGATAGACACATAGACACCGCTGTTGTGGTTTACAGCTAGACTATGATATCTGCCCCAAAAGGTGCAGACAAATATGTCTGACTGCAGCCAAATTGTTTTTTTCTTAGAAAATTACCTTGGCTCTCAGGTCGACCCAGCCTTAAATGGGTACCAGGTAAAGTCCTGGGAAGTGAAAGCAGCCAATGCGATGCTGACCATATCACCAACCAAGTGCTGATTGATCTATAAAATATAGGTCTAGCCCTATAGGCCCAATCACCTGGAGGCATGGAAAAGGGTCCTTTACTTTATTAGTCACATTTTATAACATGCTCATTAGGGGACAATAGTACTGAAATCTCATGTTCTACATCTGGAAGACTTTTCTTAGTGCAGGCAGATCTTGCTAGTCAGTATCGCCAATTTGCCATTGGCTGTGATTCCATGCCTCTCTGAAGCACAATATAACGCTACTTTCATCAGAACCCCCACAGGGGCAACATCAATCCAATTCTCATTTCCCTTCTTCTGCATTTCCCTTAAAAAGGTGGTTGGTATGTTGTGTTGCAGTTTATAGCTGGGCTGGGATGTTTGTGCTTTTCAGCTCAATACATGTGAGTTTAGTAAACCTTTAATTGTGCGTCTTTTATGAAATCCTTCTTGTTAGGTGGGTGATGGGACTATTCTTTATCCCCCCCCCCACCCCCCAGGGGCCCCAGAACCCAGAAGACGGGGGCAACAACAATTCAGGTCAGTCTCAGACACAAACTAGATATAAGTGCCCCAGAACCCAGAAGATGGAGTGTAACAACAGCAATTCATGTTAGTCTTAGACACAAACAAGATGTAAGGACCCCAGAAGATGGGGGTAACAACAACAATTGAGATCAGACTCAGACACAAACTAGATGTAAGGACCCCAGAACCCAGAAGATGGAGTGTAACAACAGCAATTCAGGTTAGTCTTAGACACAAACTAGACATAAGGACCCCAGAAGATGGGGCAACAACAATTCAAATCAGTCTCAGACACAAACTACATGAATGAGTACAAGAACCCAGAAGATGGGGACAACAACAATTCAGGTCAGACTCAGACACAAACTAAATGTAAGGGCTCCAGAACCCAGAAGATGGGGGCAACAACAATTCGAATCAGTCTCAGACACAAACTACATGTATGAGCCCCAGAACACAGAAGATGGGGGCAACAACAGAATTCAGGTCAGACTTAGACACAAACTAGATGTAAGGGCCCCAGAACCCAGAAGATGGAGTGTAACAACAGCAATTCAGGTCAGTCTCAGACACAAACTACATGTAAGGACCCCAGAATTAAGAAGATAAGAGCAACAACAATTCAGGACAGTCTCAGACACAAACTACATGTAAGGACCCCAGAATTAAGAAGATAAGAGCAACAACAATTCAGGACAGTCTCAGACACAAACTACATGTAAGGACCCCAGAATTAAGAAGATAAGAGCAACAACAATTTAGGACAGTCTCAGACACAAACTACATGTAAGGACCCCAGAATTAAGAAGATAAGAGCAACAACAATTCAGGACAGTCTCAGACACAAACTACATGTAAGGACCCCAGAATTAAGAAGATAAGAGCAACAACAATTCAGGACAGTCTCAGACACAAACTACATGTAAGGACCCCAGAATTAAGAAGATAAGAGCAACAACAATTCAGGACAGTCTCAGACACAAACTACATGTAAGGACCCCAGAATTAAGAAGATAAGAGCAACAACAATTCAGGACAGTCTCAGACACAAACTACATGTAAGGACCCCAGAATTAAGAAGATAAGAGCAACAACAATTCAGGTCAGTCTCAGACACAAACTACATGTAAGGACCCCAGAATTAAGAAGATAAGAGCAACAACAATTCAGGTCAGTCTCAGACACAAACTACATGTAAGGACCCCAGAATTAAGAAGATAAGAGCAACAACAATTCAGGACAGTCTCAGACACAAACTACATGTAAGGACCCCAGAATTAAGAAGATAAGAGCAACAACAATTCAGGACAGTCTCAGACACAAACTACATGTAAGGACCCCAGAATTAAGAAGATAAGAGCAACAACAATTCAGGACAGTCTCAGACACAAACTACATGTAAGGACCCCAGAATTAAGAAGATAAGAGCAACAACAATTCAGGACAGTCTCAGACACAAACTACATGTAAGGACCCCAGAATTAAGAAGATAAGAGCAACAACAATTCAGGACAGTCTCAGACACAAACTACATGTAAGGACCCCAGAATTAAGAAGATAAGAGCAACAACAAGATTCAGGACAGTCTCAGACACAAACTACATGTAAGGACCCCAGAATTAAGAAGATAAGAGCAACAACAATTCAGGTCAGTCTCAGACACAAACTACATGTAAGGACCCCAGAATTAAGAAGATAAGAGCAACAACAATTCAGGACAGTCTCAGACACAAACTACATGTAAGGACCCCAGAATTAAGAAGATAAGAGCAACAACAATTCAGGACAGTCTCAGACACAAACTACATGTAAGGGCCCTAGATCTCAAAAGATGGCATGAAACAACAATTCAGGTCAGTCTCAGACACAAGATATACAGATCTGACTCACAGATGATTCTTTCAATGATGTACACCACATCCAAGGTCAGGCCACTCTCTATGTAGCCGTGCTCTTGGCTTCTGAGGAGATTGTAAAGACACAAAACTTTATTTTGATGATGACAATTATTTCAAGCCTAAAAACATAGCTTCTGAGAGAAAATAAAGGTATACTATTGGTTCAATAACAATTAACCTAAGAGCTGAAACAATTGGAAAAACAAACATAATTTTTTCACCAACAAGCTAGACACCTCACTTCTAGCCCGATGGTCTTGGGTTTAAATCCACAATGAGTCTGATTTTTCCCCAAAAATAACCTTGGCTGCCAAGTCGACCCGACCTAACATCGGTACCACAGTTATCTGTCTTGTGTACTTTTAGTCATCTCTGATACAGGTAATCTTCCAAGCAATGATGTTAAACTGTCCAGCATCTTCTCTCTCAGTCTCCCTCTGCATCTCTTCCCCTTTAACCGTCCCACTGCCATGCACTCCTGTTTTCTCCTTCTCATGATGTGTCCAAAGAATGTAGATTCTTCTGTCTTGTATCCCTTGAAAGAAGCAGATGAGCCAAGTCATCATTGTCTTTGTCACCACATGCAACACATTCCAGGTCTTTCCTATTTCAAACAGCTCTGCTTCTAATTCTCCCCACCATGTGTGTTTTTTCAGTCTCCCTTTACTTTATTTATCGCCTTGTGGATTCTACTGCGAGGATCCTAGTTTTACCAATATCAGGTTTTTCCCAGTATGTTTCCTATTCAGCACCAGTGTCTTTTCCTCAACTCTTAGCTCACTGCAACTTGTTATCTCTTTAAACTCCATATTGGCGATTCTGTCATACTGAGTGCTTATTGACCTGTCTGATGTAAAATGAGGATAATCTGTTGACTAACTAATTAACTAACTAAAAAAAACTATTGGCGATTCTGTCATACAATTAATTTCTTCTATGTAATGATTATTAGCAGTTTATTATTAATTGTTTAGTTTATATTTCTACTCTATACAGCAGCACTGTTTTGACAGAGTTTTATTTTCAAAGATCGGTCTTAAGTTTTGATCTCAACAGATTTTATAGTGCTATAAAATCTCTTCTATTCTGCAGCACTCGTAATGTTCATATGTTTTCATATCATTTTCTTCCAGATAACTAGATATTTTGCTAACATGGTTCATGCTGTCTTAATAGCTTCTGCTGGGATACCATCTGGACTAGCTGTTTACAATTCTTCATGGGTTGACAACCTATTTATTGGAATTATTATCTTGACTTATTTGTTTCACTGTGTCTCAGCTGAACCGCAACATGTCTTGATATTTACTGCTTTTAAGCTCAACACTTTAGACAGAAGGACTCGTTCAAGTAATCATGGCTTGTGACTGAAAGAGTTAAAGAAGATACACAGAAAACTGAAACAGATGTCAGAATACTCAGAACTTACTTGTTGAGCATGTCTCTCATTGTTGATGCTGACATAGCACTCTGGGACTCAGAAGTGACACCAACCTGTGGAAGAAACAATCATGTGATTTGTTTCCTGTCTCACTGACTTTTAGCATTCATGAAAAGCAGCATGCATATCAAAAATATCTAAGTTAGTCAACATCATCATGTTCCACAGCGGAGTGAAACTATGCTTTGGCAGTGCCTCCAGACATTTATTTGACTGTTTTGAGCTGATCATGAGGAGGGTGCAGGCTGGTTTTAGATATCAGCTTAACAAGCTACAGCTTAGGGCGGCATATTCTGAAGGGGCCTAAACAGACTGCTTTTCTTTTTCGTTCAAAAATTATGTTTCCTTTTATTATATTTTTAATGCAGTGGCCGCTTGATGTAGCGGCTATAGGCTGTCCTGCATATCAGAAGGTCCTGGGTTGGGGTTCTGATGAAGCCTGACTTTTTCTCAAAAATTACCTTGGCTCTCAGGTCGACCAAGCCTTAAATGGGTACCAGGTTCAGTCCTGGTAATTGAAACGGTTGATACTAACCACATCACCCACTCAGTGCTGATAGATCTTTAAAACATAGGTTAAGCTCTATATGTCGAATACACCTCAAGGCGTGGGAAAGGGTCATTTTAAATTATTAGAGCTGATTAAAAAAAAAAAAAAAATTCTAGATCCAGAAACTATGAGTTGTAAACCCTTTTGCTCCGTAGTATGGATATTGTAACCCTTTGGTCTTTATTCCACGACAGATACCATAAATCTTGGGAATATGTAGCTTTTCTGCCTATCTCAGAGCGTGAACTCGGACCACAAGAAGTTCATCACCTGGTCGCCGTACAGCTGATTTAACCAACTTAGCTAGCGCGCCAAGCATTAAAGTCGATTTAACGCTAGTTTAGTCTTAGTTAAGACTAATTTTAATTTCTTTCACTTCCATAGACTTTACAGTGCTATTAAAACTCCTTTTGCCTTTTGTGTTTATCTGTTATATCTATATTTGTTCCCCTTATGATGATTTTCACTCCTGACTAAATAAACCTACAAATATACATTTTTGATCATCATCATCACCAGGTTTTGAATTTATGAGTCGCACAGGACACACAGGCTATCTCTCTACTTCTTTATATCCTGTGTAATCATTTGGGTATAATGATGGAATTCAGTCTAGTATCTTTGGCCTCTCTATTAAACACAACAATTATCATCATTATGTAGCAAACTAGTGGATGTTAACTTGCCTGGTTAAATCATAAACAGCCAAAAAACGAGGATCTGCAATGTTCTGTAAAGGACAGGCAACTAGAGTTAACTGTATGGATATAAATAAATACTCACGAGTCTACTGGAAGATAACTGGTTCTTGCTCAAGGCCTCATTGCTCTGTAAAAGAGAAAGAGCAGAATAGAGCCCGTTAATGCAGTAGAATTGACAGCTTTATTTAAATACACACTCATGCCTGCGCGCGCGCACACACACACACACACACAAGTATCTGCAGACATAACCTATGGTTTATGAAGAAGTTTTTCATCTTCTTCTTTTTCTTCTATATCTTCTTCCTTCTTCTTCCTCCTCCTTATGCTTCTTCTTTGCCTTTTACAATATGACTACTTTACAATCATAGCAGACACAGTTCTCAAAAACAGCAGCACAACATGATCCCCAGGGACTGATGGTTGCCTACTTCTATAATATGCTTATTATGGGATAAATGCAATGAATATATTTTTTATACCACCCCCATTAAAGCCCTGGAACCCACATACGAGTTTCATAATTCTAAAATACCTGGTTCGATTTAGCTGCATGCCAATCTGTAATGGCAATGGCAAATTACATGAGCATAAAAATTGCCTAGTATAACCACAAACGGTCAACAAATGCTGAGGTTGGATTGCATCGACTGGTAAAGCATATGCAGCTAACTTGATATGAACCATTTCAGGGTTAGAAAAATAAAAGAAGATGGTAGCCACTTTGGCAACACAACTTAAAAACTTTTAAGTTGACAGGATGAACCTCATAGCGCCGGGTTATCTCTTTATATTGTTTTTGTCTCCCTCCGCAGAATGGCCCAGCCACTTGCCGAGTGCACAACATAAAGAACCAACTCTGTAGCCCATCAACTATCCCTGGGACCCTCTGTACAACAGCACGCATGAACTAAACAAGCGTCTGTAGGATAGCTCACGGGGAAGAACATTTGTATCACAAGTGACTGACAGCAGGACCGGATATAGACCTGATGAGGCTCTTATCTATATAAAGTTCTGAGGCCCCTACTGTTTCAAATTACAACAGCTTATCTCAGGAAACTTAAAAATATGGATGGTGGAAATATATTGTCGTTTAATTTTTCGTTTAAAAAGGTAACAGAAAAAAGTGAAATTACACCATAACCCTCTTAAAGGCTTTATCAAAAGACAATTTCAGCTGTGGGAAAAAACACAAGAATTTGTTGAGACCCCTATAGATTGTAAGGTCCTACAGCTTAGTTGGGTTATGCTAAAACCCAGCACTTGCAGACATGCATGATTACAAACAAGATAAAGGTAAAGTCGACTTCACGGCACCGGGTTTTATTTTATATGGCACAGTCTCTCTTCGCAAAACAGCTGGCTGATTAACGAGAGTGTCGCACAGAGCACGACCCCCATAGCTCCGACAACGATCCCTGGGGTATTGTCTAATTTGTGTATGTGCTGATAAGGGCTCCATAGCCACACCGTTTACGTTTTGTTTGTGTTTGTTATATTGTGAAGCTCGCTGATATACTTTTAGTTCGGGTTTATATCTTTCCGCCTGGAGAAGGTGCATTGATTTGTCCACCCGAAGGAGCAACTATTTTAATTCTGGGTTCTTTCGTAATATCCTACTCCCAGATGACGTCAAACGACAGTCCAACATTTTCGAGGGTGGCTTTCTGATGCTTTTAACAACAAAAAAATATCTCGAACTGACCCTAACCCCAACCCACCTACGTCCCGTCCCACCAGAGTGCAGCCTAGGTCCCACGACTGGATGCAGCCTAGGTCCCACGACTGCATGCAGCCTATCTACCACCCCCTGAAACATAAACTGTCCCGTGACCTGTGGATTTCCCCTGTTTGGGGTAGGATATTAAGAAAGCACCTAATTATGTAATTATATACAGAGAAGGGGGTGGAGAGAAAGAATGATAAAAAGCAATGGCACATACTGTGGTTTTTGTGTCACACTTTCAGTAAAATAACATGAACATAAAATAATAAATTCAACTGACGGCAACAAGAGGGACAATAGCCAATGTAACAACGACAAGTAAACATATCACGTGGGTAAATGTACAGCACACCGGGTCATGCCTCTACCTCAACGCAAGCTGAAATTTAAGACGGTGTAGGCTGAGAAAAGCGCCGCGTCGACTCCCCGACTCTCCTTCCTGCCTCATACAGGGGCGTAGAAGGCGGTCTCAATCATAGTATGGGCTCAGCAAACAAGACATGATTTAATTGAAGTGTCACATAGCTGTGTTATAACCTGCAGCGCCTTCGCAGCCGGGCTGCATTCCAAGGCAGAATTACTACCGCTTAATTAACTAGACGGCGGGAGAAACGGGATTGAGGCGGCGCTTATAAAGGGGGAGGGAGAGGGCTGAGGGTTTTTGGGGGACAAAGGTTACTTCCATTGTGTAGACACTTTTTACTTAGGACAGGACAAAACGCAGATTAATGCTCAAGAAGAAGAAGAAGAAGAAGAAGAAGAGGAAGAACGAATCACATGTGTATCTGCAACGATGGGAGATGTGTCGCCATCATTGGCATCACGATTATCATCAAAACATATCAACGCCAGTATTGATACCACATTTCCCACTAAAACCGTTATTATCATCATCAACTGCCTGTACGAACGACACTGGATACCCCAGAAAATGTCTCCAAACGTGTCCCAGCAAACGGGTGGTCTACCGGTGCCCACAGAGACATAAAGCAGGCCACACAGTCGGACGGGCGGGCGTAGGGACGGAAGGACAGGTCAGATAGATCAATCGATCGACAGACAGACAGGCAGATAGACAGACAAACATAGATACCCAGACAGACAGACATATAGAACGAATGAACGAACTTTAGTTTCAAAGGGTCACAAACTGGGCACGCAGGCTCGTCTTACATTCGGCCCTTCCAAAGACTCGTCTTTCATACAGCAGTTGCATTTTATCAATAAAACATGCTATGTTCATAAGGTAATAGGCCTATTATGAATATTTAAACAAAAAAACCGCACAAAAGAATGGGTAGTAAAATGCATGTGCGAACCTGCACGCATACACGCCCACCCACTCACTCGTTTACATACACATACATACACACGCACATACATTCATAACATCATACATACATACATACATACATACATACATACATACATACATACATACATACATACATACATACATACATACATACATACATACATACATACATACATACATACATCCATCCATCCATCCATCCATCCATCCATCCATCCATACATACATACATACATACATACATACATACATACATACATACATACATACATACATACATACATACATACATACATACATACATACATACATACATACATACATACATACATACACACATACACACATACACACATACACACACACACACACACCCACCCCCCCCCCACCCCACCCCTCCCACCCCACCCACCCCCACCCACCCACCCACCCACCCTTGCATGTACCTCTAAAATAAACAAGACCCGACAGGTAATTATTTTGGACTGTTATTGAAAGATCTTCGCTGTTACCATAGGGAGCCACAGACAAGCGTAAGTAAAGGTCTCTTTTCTATGCCTTCATGTGTATAGGGCATATAGGACTAGACCTATATTTTTGTAGAGCAATCGGCACAAGATGGGTGATGTGGTCAGCATCACGCCGGCCGCTTTTACTTTCCGCGATGCACCCGGTACCCACTCAAACAGAAAAGCGTGACAGAGAGATCTCATGACGTATACTGAAAAAAAATGACATCTGACCATGCCAGAAAGATATGCTGTCCTTGACTCTTAATGAGGAGACCAAAGAACAAGTTTCTCCGCGTAGCGATTCTTCTCATCCTCCCCTTTCTCTTGCTTTTCTTCTTCTTCCACGTTTAATTTGACGTTTTAAATAACGGATGAACATCCTGGCACACAGGTGTAACCCATAAGTGCTCCGTTCTTTTTCTAACTCAGGTCTGAGTCCGAAGAAGCTCAGCACAGTGCACAGGCTCTATACCACAAGCGAGGATCCTAAAATACTTAGGGTTTAACTCCAAATGTTGCCCGGGCAGCACCGTTAGGCTACTCTTTTCGATTTCCAACTGCCAAGGGATTTTTACGTGCGCAACAATGCCACACGGGCGTCTGATCTCACTACCCAGAGACCAGGGGGAATTACTAGAAGTCCTCTAGCACTCGAGGCGGGCACCATGCCTCGAGACCACGCAGCACACCTCTCTTCCACGTTTTTTTTGCGTGTCTATTCCAGCAGGGGTAACTATCAGGACGGTGCTCTTGAGGTCTTCACCGGTGCCGCACAGTTTGTCTGTCTATCTGGGGCGCTTTTGTGCAGGGGTTCTCAATCTGTGGGTCGCGATCCCTTTGAAGATGGAAGACATGTTCCTATAGGTCGCCTAAGACCATTGGAAAACACACATTCACTGAAGTTATGAAGTAGTCACGAAAATAATTTGATGGTTTGGGGTTACCACAACAAGAGGAGCTGTACTAAAGGGTTGCGGCATCATGAAGGTTGACAGCCACTGCTCTTGTGGGACCGATTTCTAATCTCTGAATGGCAGCAGATCAAGTGGTTTGACCATCTCGCTAGAATGCAGCAAGACCATATACCATGGCTTGCACTACATCTCAGAATATCAGCTACAAGAGCAAGAGGACGGCGGTGGTAAATATGCAACGACAACATTAAAGACACTCTACGCCTTCACGGCATGACAATAACCAGTTGCAGCCAGCATGCACTGGATCGCAAATTATTCCTCCCCACATCGCTTAACGGTAGAAGTGGTTTATGATGATGACGATGATGACTGGCAGAGTCTGAGGAGCTGCATGGCCGCCATGGCTAGACGTTTTCCTGTCAGCCGAAGAGATCGAAGCAGCAATCAAGATCATCTGTGCCGAAACCAGGAACCACGCTGGCGTAGTTGCTATTCGCTCCTGTCTGTCGACCCGAAGATCCCGGGGTCTAATCAGCATCTATGCGGATTTCTCAAAACTGATCTTGGCTTTCAGGTAGACCCAGTCTAAAACTGGTAACGTTCTGGGAAGTAAAGGTGGCCGTCCTTATGCTGACCATATCACCCACTACGTGC